AATAATAATAAGTTATTAAAATAATAATATGTTTCTGACAAGTTTACTAAAACGAACCAACATGACTAGTATAGTACATTTTAAATTTCAGCATCCAAACTACAATGGTAACGCTAATGGTTTCCCTAATGATATTGCCGTTGGTATTCTAACTAGTGATGTAAATGTTGGTGGAACCATTGGTTTGGCTTCTGCAGGTAGCAGTTTTGCTGGCAGTAAATGTATCATCAGTGGTTGGGGCAGAACTTCAGGAACATCTTCCATTCCTAATGATTTGAAATATGTTGAAATGAACAAGATCACCAACAGTGAATGTACCAGCAGATGGGGCAGTAGCTACATCTTTAACTTCCATATCTGTGTCTACGAGTCTGGTAAATCAGCTTGTAATGTAAGTAGGATTGACAACATTTCAAGGATGGGGAGGGGGGGCGCCTCAGATCTCCGTGGCAAGCTTCCGCTTCCGCTTCAGACCCCACAGGTTTTCGTCTATACGTTTCAACATTAGGAATGTCAATCCCGACATACGCCCTCCCATATGCCCTGATGGTAAATCAGCTTGCAATGTTAGTAGAATTCAAAACACATAATCGATTATAGTCCCAACTGTTCCTTCAAAATGAAGACTCGCCTGTTTTGAATAATACTGATCTTTTTAAAATAATTTTGTCTGCAATGGAATGTAAGGAATGACTATATAAGACAATAGTGTATAATCACGTCTTTGAAAATGCGCTTATAACGTAATCGTTGTATTGACATTTTCACTTGACACCTTCTCCGTGAAGTAAAAGCTAAATAAATGTAGAGCTCTAGCCGAATATACACAGTAAATACATCGCCCTGTCCGACTAAAATGTGTCGAAATGCGAATGCGATGTTACCTTAATTATTGTATTGACATTTTCACTCTACACCTTTTCATTGATATTTTGTTGTTTGTAATTACAGGGTGACAGTGGCGGACCAATGATCTGTAACAGTGGAAGTCAAACTGTTCTAGCTGGTATCACTTCATGGGGAGCTACAGGTTGTCCTGGAACCAGACCCAGTGTCTATACCAGAGTTTCAGAATATCTCAACTGGATTAATAGTATTAACTAAAATCAATTATAGAAAATTTTTAAATGTGATTTAAAATAAATGTTATAGCCAATAGTTGTGGTTTACATACTTTTGTCAGCGGTACTTCAAGGTCTAAATGCAGGACAAGAAATCATTTTCTGCGGCCACCTTGAAATGACGTCATCATAACTGGAAAAAATGGGGGGGGGGTGCAAACTGCAAAATAATGGTCATTAATCCGATTGTCAAGGGATGCCAGGACACTGACACGCTGTCAGGAGCTTTGGCACCCATCATAGTTGCGAAAAGACGATCTATTGATATTAATAACTTCAGTCTTAATACATAGTGTGTTTATATAC